GTAAAGAATTTTGTTGAAGTGCTTACAAATTGCACTTACTTTTAAGCATAAACATAAATACTATTGTAATATTATGGTTAGAAGTATCTGCCACAAGGGGATTGTATTGGTATGAATAACTTGAGAACGGTGAAATTTACGGAAAAAATTCAAGTTACCTATTTTACGTATTTTGTGCATTAGAATATAAATCCGTTACAATAACTTGTAAAAAATACAGTGGCGTAGGTTTTTTTTATAAAAAAAGGGGTGATCCTGTCCAGTTGTACACCACTGGTTGAACCTTTAGAGCTAATATTTTAGGTAATGCAAGGCCTACTGTCATACATTATCTGTACTAAATTTTATTGAGATCGGTTAATAGATTCCGGAGATATAAACAAAAAATTTAATTTTTTTAACAACTTCAACACCCTGTATCTCTAAAACGAGGCCGTTCCAGTCCTATGTTTATAAGGCAAACAGCTATTATTTTAAAGAGACCTATCTGCCCTTGAAGTTTCCTGCATAAAATTCGGACCACCCTGTATATGTAGATATTAAGTTGATAAAAAATATTAAGAATAAATTCAATAAAATTAAAAAAAATAATTATATCATCATACTCACATATAATTTTTAGGAAATTTTTCTATAAGGGGTAGGGTTTTTTATGAGGGGCAGGTCTCCCATAAGGGTTTTTTGGATGGCTGAAAAGTTGCAATATATCATAGATCATTTGAAAACCAATAAAAAGTTTATGATCCTACATACGCATACCATTAAAACATCTCAAGCTTTCAATAATATTTTTTTGTTTATTTTACTATAAGGGATGGGGGGGGGTCAGATGAGCTTGTATGCAAATTTTTAGGAAAATCCATGCTACCCGAAAAAATTGGGAGCTTTTACGTTTATTTATGTTGTTAATATTTTATGTTATTTTGTTAGATAATTCTATGCGCTTTGGGCAGCAACATCCTAGCTTTTCAGATATTATTCTTAAAAAAAAAACAATAAACGTAGAAAAATTTAAGATATTGAGGATTTCAAAATAATTCCATAAACCTTCAAAACGCCATTCAAAGGGTAAAAATCCTGTCAAAACTAAGAGACTCTGGACAGGAAACCACAGACGAACTACGACGTACGTCAGAAGGCGCAGAGCGGGAAAATAAAAATTCACTGATGTTTTGAAATTTTCCTGAAATTCCCCTACGAAACCCCGATTGCCGCCAAGCACGATCAGCCGTAACAGACGTTGTTAGCAGAACACGCTAGCCGATCTCTGAGCCACCGCCGACAGCGCATAAAGGTGCGAAAAATTTCAACACAGTTTCGGATTTTTGGAAAATAAACTAACTCCGAATTTTACGAAATCCGAACTGCAACAAGGTCTTAGGGCAGACATTACTGACTCCTCGGATACAGCCACCATATCACATATGTGTGTGCTATTGTACAGTAAACATCGTTTATGGTTAATACGATAAAAGTGATTCAAAACGTGGTATATTAGTGCTATTATTTCTTGGAAAACATACTATCGTAACCTTGTTAATACTGTGAGTACAAATATACCAAAATCAAATTTGCAAGTGTTGTATGTTCAGCAATAATTGCATTTATACTTGACGAACCATAGTACTTTNTTCATTTTTAAAAGTCGAGTAAAAAATTTTTTTTTCCGATTTTCTGTCTTTATTAAGCTTTCCGAATACGTGGTTAAAATTAATGACATTATGACTGAATCACCCTGTATATGTAGATATTAAGTTGATGAAAAATATTAAGAATAAATTCAATAAAATTAAAAAAAATAATTATATCATCATACTCACATATAATTTTTAGGAAATTCTATAAGGGGTAGGGTTTTTTATGAGGGACAGGTCTCCCATAAGGGTTTTTTGGATGGCTGAATAGTTGCAATATATCATAGATCATTTGAAAGCCAATAAAAAGTTTATGATCCTACATACGCATACCATTAAAACATCTCAAGCTTTCAATAATATTTTTTTGTTTATTTTACTATAAGGGATGGTTTTTAAGGGTTGAAACTTTGTAATGAGTCGTAAGATTATTTGGGATTATACAAAAATTTTTTTCATACAAATTGATTAAGTTGATACGATTTACGCAAATCTAGTTTGTATACTATTTTATTGGTCTCTAGTGATTAAAATATTTTTGTCTCTATATAGAAAAAATGTCTTCTTAATGTAAAGTAAGCCTAGACAAAAGTTAAATGTTTATACAAATAAGCAGAAAGATGTTTTTAACTATTGTCATAATACACTCTTATTTTACATTTAGCGGTAAAAATGTCCATATACATAATATATAGATGAAATCACTTATTTTATTTCCACAAATTTCTTATGTCTTACATACACAAATGAGATTCCACAACTGAATCTGATCCTCGAGCTATTTGTTCGTCTTTTTAGAAATCAGTATATGGCCTATTTAATTTTCACTGATCTTCCGCTTCTACGGATGCTACGAGTATATCAGGATGTTCAACCTCTGAGGGTACTTCTGGATGTTCTCCCTCAACTGGAAGTTCTGGTTGTTCGACTTCAGCGGGAATTTCGGGATGCTCGACCTCTGAGGGATGTTCTGGATGTTCTTCCTCAATTGGAATTTCTGGTTGTTCGACTTCGGAAGGAATTTCGGGATGCTCGACCTCTGAGGGATGTTCGGGATGTTCTTCCTCAACTGGAAGTTCTGGTTGTTCGACATCAACGGGAATTTCAGGATCTTCCACTTCTGAAGGAAGTTCTGGTTGTTCGACTTCAGCAGGAATTTCAGGTTGTTCGACCTCTGAGGGAAGTTCTGGATTTTCACCCTCAACTGGGAGTTGTGGTTGTTCGACTTCAGCAGGAATTTCAGGATGTTCGACCTCTGAAGGAAGTTCTGGATTTTCATCCTCAACTGGGAGTTCTGGTTGTTCGACTTCAGCGGGAATTTCAGGATCTTCCACTTCTGAAGGAAGTTCTGGTTGTTCGACTTCAGCAGGAATTTCAGGATGTTCGACCTCTGAGGGAAGTTCTGGATTTTCATCATCAACTGGGAGTTCTGGTTGTTCGATTTCAGCGGGAATTTCAGTATCTTCCGCCTCTGAAGGAAGTTCTGGTTGTTCGATTTCAGAAGGAATTTCAGGTTGTTCGACCTCTGAGGGATGTTCTGGATTTTCATCTTCAACTGGAAGTTCTGGTTGTTCGATTTCAGCGGGAATTTCAGGCTGTTCGGTTGCTGAGGGTTCTGCGTCTTCGGTGACAGAGGAGGCTTTAGGTTCTTCGATATCAGCAGAAACTTCATCTAAGTCAACTTGGTAACGTGAACGTAGAGCATGTCCTTGTACGTCGACCTGCAAGGGTGTTAAATTTCTTGTCAAATTATAATTATTTTATTAAATGTTTGATTACTTACGGTGAACGCCAGTACTAGGGCTAAAGTTGCAAGATACACGAGTTTATTCATTTTGTTTACCAAGTTCAGAACTGAATGGCAGTAGGCCTCGATGCATGGGTATTTATACAAATGTAGCATGTTATGCAGGATTATAGAAGATTAAAGTCTTCTCGCAAAGAAAACAGGTGTAGATGCACATTTCTTATCAAATATACAAGGATTTAAGCTTAATCTGCATATAATGTCGACTTAAAGAAGTACGTTCAGAATTTAGCTATTAAATCTTAAATTCTGGAATGTGCATTCTCAGATTTTACATGCTAGAAGATATTATGACTGACATTATCACTGAAGAAAATGATTCAACAACATGCCTATAAGATTAAAAATATCCATTTTGTTTCAAAATTGTTTTCAGTGAGATGATTGGCGTGACAAAGAATTCATCCAGAATGTAAAAAGAATTATTCTTTTATATAATTAAAGATACAGGGAGTTCTATCAAGTCATACTGATAAAATAAAAGAATGATGGCATTATTGTACTCAGGAGTTACAGTACAGTGTATCCCACCGGGAATCGCTGCGATCGATATCTGGAAAAGTACTTATTTGAAAAATTTGAAAATTGGGCAGCTTATCAAAGTCAGTGAGTGCAATACAACTAAAATATTTTCAAGGTCATAGCACTTCCGGTAATACCGGAAGTCGATGCTATCTTCGTTATTTTAAATGGAACACTATATATTTTTGCATTTTTTGATTCTACTTGAAATTCTAAGGTCACTTTATATTACAAACCTAGTTCCTAAATTTTGTAGTTTTTGAGATATTGACATTTTTATGAAAAATTTGACAGATGCAAGGTTGTGCGAGGTCCTCTGTATTTTATTCCAGCAATTAGATATCAATTTGAGATTCGGTATGTGAGTAGAACACGTATGGAACAATTTTCCAGAATATCCGTAAATTATAAAATATGATACCGAGTGTTTAATTTTCGACTGTACATTTTGATAACTTCAAAGAGTTATATCTTTGTTAACTTAAATGGAACACCCTGTATTTTTTTGGCCTATCTTGTGCAGAAATTAATTATCTTTTACGTGATGTAGGCATTGTAGGGGCTGTGGTTACTAATTTTAGAGATAATTGCAATTTTTTACTTTTTCTTCAATTTTCACATTAACTTAACTTTATCAAGGGGTATATGGGTAGGAACAATCGTTATTGACAATCAAACTATCAAACAACAATAAGTTGTCAAATAGTAGTGTATAGTAAAGAAGCAATTATTACACAAGATGCCAGGCCAGCGTTTAAATTTTAGTGATGAGAATTATTTTAATTAATTTATTATTTACGGACAATGTAACAAAGTAATATCAAGAACATGTGATACATTTGCAGTACGATACCCAGACAAGGTAAAGCCCTCGCGAAGTACAGTAAAGCGTCTGGTAGAAAATTTTAGAAATTTCGGATCTTTAGTAATAAAACCGGATAGAAGGAAACCTGTTGTGGATAATGAAAATGTCGAAATTGCAATATTGGGTTACTTTAGAGCATTTCCAACTATGTCAATTAAGCAAGCGGCACTGGAATCTGGTCTCGCCAAAAGTTCGATTCATAGAATTCTTCATAAACATAAATTTCACCCATATTCTTTACATATGGTGCAAAATTTAAACGAAGCACACTTTTTAAAACGGATTCAGTTTTGTGAGTTTATGTTGATGAGATACCAAGATGACATTTCCTTTTTGGACAATATTATATGGAGTGATGAATCCAAGTTTACAAAAAATGGATTATTTAATAGACACAATTCGCATTACTGGTGTGACACAAATCCGCATGTAACTCGGGAACGAAATTTCCAAAATAGTTGTCAATTTAATGTTTACTGTGCCATAAGAAATTTAGAAGAACACAGGAAGCTGTTTTATCAACATGATGGCGCACCTCCACATAATGGTTACATAGTTAACAATTTTCTTCAGCAGAGTTTCTACGATCAGTGGATTGCAAATAGTGGACTTTTCTTGTGGCCTTCTCGTTCGCCAGATTTATCTATTTTAGACTATTTTGTTTGGGGAACTATAAAGTCCAAAGTCTACGAAGCTCCACTAACTACAAAGGAAGACTGCATTAAGAGAGTCAGAGATGCGTTCCATAATCTATCTCCACTGTTAATTAAACGAGCTACTCAAGAAGGATTCATTCATAGATGTGAGAAATGCTTGGAAGTTGCAGGCCGGAATTTTGAACATTTATTGCATTAGAAATTTATCTAGTACCGACTCTATTTTGTCTTTAGTTTCAACTAGTATTTTTTTTAATGTGACTTTCTCATAATGTTACAGGAGTTCTTTGCAACGTCACTGTATAACCTGTAGAACCAAATACCAAATGTGTTTAACAAAATCATTATCCACAACAGGTATTCATCTATCTGCTTTTATTATGACAGAGCTGAAATTTCAAAAAAAATCTTGGCCTAGATATCGCGCTGCAAATGTATCACGTTCTTGATATTGCTTTGTTACATTGTCCGTAAAAATAAACAAATTAAAATAATTCTCATTACTAAAATTTTACTACACACTTTGACAACTCGTTGTTTAATAGTTTGATTGTCAATAACGATTGTTCCTACTCATAGACCCCTTGGTAAAATTAAGTTAACGCGAAAATTGAAAAATAAAAGTAAAAATTGCAATTATCTCTAAAATTAGTAACCACAGCCCCTACAATGCCTACATCACGTGAAAGATAATTAATTTCTGCACAAGATAGGCCAAAAAAATACAGGATGTTCCATTTAAGTTAAAAAAGTTATAACTCTTTGAAGTTATCAAATTGTATAGTCGAAAATTAAACACTCGGTATCATATTTTATAATTTATGGATATTTTGGAAGTTTGTTTCATACGTGTTCTACTCACATACCGAATCTCAAATTGATATCTAATTGGTGGAATAAAATACAGAGGAGCTCGCACAACCCTTGCACCTGTCAAATTTTTCATAAAAATGTCAATATCTCAAAAACTACAAATTTTAGGAACTAGGTTTGTTATACAAAGTGACCTTAGAATTTCAAGTAGAATCCAAAAATGCAAAAATATATAGGGTGTTCCATTTAAAATAACGAAGTTGGCGTCGACTTCCGGTATAACCGGAAGTGCTATGACCTTGAAAATATTTTAGTTTTGTTTCCCCCACCAATTTTAATAACTTGCCGAATTTTAAAATTTTTCAAATAAGTACTTTTCCAGATATCGATCGCGGCGATTCCCGGTGGGATACACTGTATAGTAGGCGTCGATTAATACAGTGTCCTTAACAGAGTACGCGTAGTTGCGAAATTTTTTATCTATTGATGATTAAGCGATTTTGTATATCAGTTTTTTTACAAGACTTCGAAGAAATCTCGAAAATTTCTATTAACGTCAGAGATTTTTTTTCAGACAGTTTTATGGAATATAAACAAACCTTTTAAAAGGTTATTAATTTTTATTATTGCCATTGTCCTAATGAATTTTTTTGGAAAATATTTAAAAACATACCTACATAAATTGAGTTAAAAAATAATATTTTCAAGACCTTCCTAGTTTGTTCACGATTAATATTTCTATTTGAACGAGCATAGATTTTTTCTCTGTATCTGGCAACTTATTGTGAATTTATTATTGAAATTACAAAAAAGATTGAATACAAAAGTTTTAGCTTTGATGAATTTTTATAATACAGTATTAGGAAAAACAATCGAATAATGGAAATCATTAAATTAAAGAAAAAAACATATTTTTTAATGGAACACGCTATTGCTATTGCTTACTAAGCTTCATTAAACTTTTCTCTTTTCAAAAATATATAATATGTTACTGTTTGATTCAGAATTTTTCGACATATTTCAGTTTAAAACTATTTTTTGAAAAAACAGGAGGAAAATTTATGTCTGACGGATCGCAGTGGCTATGGACGAGGCACGTGGAACAAACAAATTACTTTGGTAGCTCGTTTGCATCCTGGGTTTCCAATTCCATCTCGAGCTGCATTTTATGACGTTGAGAGACGTTTTAGTGAAACAAAATCACTTGGAAGACAGAAACGAAGAATTATTCCAAATGAAGAATTAGAACTAACTATATTACTATACATTCAAGGTAAGCAAATATTCATTCGAGGTTTACCATGGTAAATTCAAATATTAAATTATTGTAGAAAGGCCACAAGAGTCCATAGTAAATGGTTCAAGATAGTTAGAAATAAGCCAAACTAAAATTATTAGAATGTTACATAAATATAAATACCGCCCCTATAAAACTATACCGGTCTAAAAACTGACCCAAAATCAAAAAAATTCAGCGACTAGAGTACTGCAAAGAAAATCTGTGCTTGAAAAATGGCGACCTAAACTATTTTGAAAGGATTTTATGGACTGATGAGTCGACTTTTACAACAGCTGGCATTTATAGTAGAAAAAATACTCATACCTGGGCAAATGAAAATCCTCACTGCAATAGGGAAATTCCAAGTCAAGGGCGTACATCGTTTAATGTTTGCTGTGGTATATTAAGAAATAAAACCATTGCTCCACTATTTTATGAAGGTGCCAGGTTTGATTTGTGGATTGGTAATGGAGGAAATATTCAATGGCCTTCAAATAGCCCAGACCTTACACCCTTGGACAGTTTTCCGTGGGGTTACTTACAAAACGAGGTTTATAAGAAAACTAGTTTGAACTTGGATGAACTAAGACATAAAGTTGATCCATGTATACAAAATTTAAGTGAATTTAATTCCCATTTCATACTGAATGGAGTTCTGAAAATTAATGAGTATTATACGAAGTGCATCAATAATAATTGGGCATCTGTGACCATTTGTGTTTTAGTTGGTGTTATTAATTAGGTATTATAATTCTGTTAAAGTGAAGACTTGTTAAAGTTAAGAATGATTTTTATTATTATCATAAAATAAACGGATAAATACAAATTTTTCGTTCACACTAAACATTATTTGTTTGTTAAAATAGTTAGTTATAGGAAATAAATTAATGATGATAAATAAGCTTCTGTCAGTAATTTGTACAGTAACATATTATATATTTAACGAAGCTAAGTATGCACTGATATATAGGGTGTTCCATTTAAACAAAAAATTTTCTTTTATTTAGTGATTTCCATTATTCAATTGTTTTTTCTAATACTGTATATAAAAATTCATAAAAAAGGCAAAAATTTTTGTATTAAAACTTTTTTGCAATTTCAATAATAAACTTATAATAGGTTGTCAGATTATAGTGACTAACCCTGTACTTTAAGTGTGCACAAAGCAGGCAGCTGTCGGACTATTTTGCAAAATTTCTGGATGCGTTGGAGGCGGTCCGATTTTAATTTTTCAGCCGGATTTTAGAAAGTAGAAGTATAATACTACAAAACGTATATTCTAATTTTCCGATAAAATGATGCGAAATAGGTGAAAAATTATTCCAAACATGCTCAAAACAGCCGAGCGCGCGTACGCGGGCGAATAATGGGGGAAGATTGGGAGATGATGATGATCGGGGGATGAGATGAAAACCCAAACGAGTTTTTTGGATTTTGGCTCGTCTTGTGCCTTCCACTTGGTACTTTGGTGCTTGGTTTTTGGATCATATTGAAAAACCACGTTCTATCACCATTCACAATCCTGTAAAGGAAGTTCGTGTCCTTTTTGGCCTCCTTGATGATGTTCTCCAAATGTTAAATTCTAACCAATTTGGTAGTGAGTCAACTTGTGCTGAACAAATCGTGCGCACATTATTTGGTAGCCCAAATGTTCATCCAAAATGCGACAAATTGATGTTTTCGAGATGCTCAATCCCAGTTTTATGGGTTTAAATGGAGATTTTGGCCGATCTTTAATGAATTCACGCACAGTGTTGATGAAATCTGCGGTGATCACGGATTTCGGTTTCTCAACGACCGTTTTTAATCGGCTTATAACACTCATGAACTCTGCCACGGTATAAACAATCATCGCCATAAAATTGGTTCCTCATTTGACATAATTCTTTTAAGCAAAAAAAAAACAAAAATTTATTAATAAAATTTTTCGTCACACTACTGGATTGGAAAAACTTGCCACCCATTCAGAAGCTGACAGAAAGAAAATAAGATTTACATAGACGGTCATAAAACCTGACACAGGACAGTTTTTAGGTTAGAAGAATGTAAAAATAGAATTATTTCGCAGCGAATCCTGTAATACTAATATTAATTGATCAAAATCCCTGTATTTTAACAAGTTTAACTGGCATATTTAGCTGTTTTACTAGTAACTCACTGCAGATATTGATATTCACAGAAAAAAAGAAAGGAATCGTTTATTTCGTACTCTGAATAGTTTCTGTGACTTATATTATACAAGATTAAAGTATTTTTCAAAGAGGAAAAGAAAGTCAAGGAAACAGGTGCAGATGCATATTTCTTATCAAATATGTAAGGATTTGGAAGGTATTACAAGTTTAATCGACATATAATGTCGACCTAAGCAAGTATGTTATTACAACATTTGTAAAATATTTTCAAACAAATGCTACATTCTAAAATCCTTTGAGCAAGTTGATGATTCGTCTCATAATATCATAAATATGTCTAAGAATCTACATTCAACAATAAAAATGAATACACAGATTTAAATTGACATTATACGCCGATTAACCTACGAAATTCCTACATATTTGATAAGAAATATAAGTCCAGACCGCTTTTTTAACACGAATGCTTTAATCTTCTACAAATCCTACATACCACACTAGTTTTGTATAAATATCCATACATCGAGGACTATCACCATACAGTTCTGAACTTCAGTGAACAACAATGAACAATTTCGTATACCTCGCAACTTTAGCTCTTGTACTGACGTCCTTTGTAAGTATTCAACAATTTAATAAGATAAATTTAAATTAAATATACTTTATGTAACGTATCTTTGCAGGTCAGTGTACAAGGGTATGCTTTAAGTTCACGTTACCAAGTACAGTCAGATGAAGTTGCAGCTGAAATCGAACAACCAGAACTTGCAGTTGATGGAGAACATCCAGAACTTCCCTCAGGAGTCGAACAGCCCGAAATCCCTGCTGAAGCCGAACAACCAGAACATCCTGTAGCTGGAGAACATCCAGAACTTCCTGAGGGAGCTGAACACCCGGAACACCCATCTGAAGTGGAACAGCCCGAATTTCCAATTGGTGGAGAACATCCTGAACATCCTGAGGGAGCTGAACAACCAGAACTCCCTTCTGAAGTGGAACAACCAGAACTACCAGTAGGTGGAGAACATCCAGAACTTCCCTCAGGAGCCGAACAACCTGAAATTCCAGCTGAAGCCGAACAACCAGAACTTCCAGTTGGTGGAGAACATCCAGAACTTCCCTCAGGAGTCGAACAACCTGAAATTCCTGCTGAAGCCGAACAACCAGAACTTCCAGTTGGTGGAGAACATCCAGAACTTCCCTCAGGAGTTGAACAACCAGAAATTCCCTCTGAAGTCGAACAACCACAAGGTTCAGTTGTTGGAGAACATCCAGAACTTCCCTCAGGAGTCGAGGAACCAGAAATTCCCTCCGAAGTCGAACAGCCACAATTCCCATCTGGAGCCCAACAACCAGAACGTCCAGCTGGAGGAAAACAACCACCTGTTGAAGCAGTACACCCAGTGATGCCTCTGGAAATAGTACCAGTAGAGGTAGAAGAACAGTGAAAGTCGAATAACTCGCACACTGATTTGTAAAAAGTTAAACATTTCAGAGTTATCTGAAGAACAAATCTAGTTGTGACTATAAATTATGTTAATTAGAGCTTATGAGAGAATAAATCATTGATTTCATCCATATTGACATTCTTTTTTCTTTTACAAACATGTAGGTACTTACTAGTTTGGCATTTAGATATTTTATTATCTGAACTGTGGACGTGTCGAAAGGAATTAAAATTTTTGATTGCATTTATTTCATTCAATTGACTTTTATAGTATAAATAATCGGTTAGATTTTAATATGCAATAAGTAATTATAAAAACCAGACAAAATATCAATATTAAGAAAAAAAAATGGAATTTTCAAGCGATGAAGAATAATTGCCCTTTGAAGTACTGCAGGCAGCAGAAAGTGCAGTATCGCAACTATCTCTCAAAAATATGCAGAACAATATGAAATAGTTTACAATTACTTCAGAACTTACATCATTTTCGAGGAAGGTCAATAATCGAGATTAAACAAATTTAACCCATACTATTTAAAAGTGGTTAAAAAACATCTGAGAATGTGTTACTGACATATTTTGAATATAAAATCACAGTGTTAATAGACTAGGCCGTATCTGTTTTGGTTTGGGTGAATCGTATATGCACGGATATTTTTAGCTTTTTGGCTTTCAAATATGACTAGAAATGAAAATTTTTCAATGCGCATAAAAAGAAACGTGGGCTTAACTTTTGGCGGCACAATATGTTAAAAAAATTCGAAAAATGTTATATTTTTCTTCCTATTTAATTATGTATCTTTTCAAGAGTTGATTTTAGGCGAAAATGGAAGAGGAAAAAATGTTTGTAAATAAATTAAAATTTTTTACAAAATATGACTAGTTACAAATCGAATGAATCACGATTATTATTGTAAAAATATAAAAAATCATAAAAAATGGGGTTAAAAAACATTACTTTTTAGGGAGTTTTTGGAGTCTTTAAATTGGGTATAGGACTTTCATACTTGGCTCAAGAAAACTTCATGTTATGTAAAATCATCACACCAAACTTCATCAAAATCGGTTTGATAGACTGCATAATAATTTTGCAATTCAGATGTTGAAGAAAAATTTGCAAATTTTCAAAATTTTGCACAGCAAAAACCAAGGTCCTTAGATAGTTGAAAATTTAGTCACATACAGCAGGGCTCTCAAGCTTTCAAACGCTTTCTGAAAAATTCAAATCCGTCAACTAGGAGAGCTCTGACGTTTGTTTTAAAAAAAAAATTTTTAAAGCAGGTTTTAAAAGTTATTGGAAAGACGCTTCTTTAAAAAAAAAAACAGATTGATTGGTCAATTAGTTACGTAGTTATAGCCGATCAAAGTTAACAGTCATTTACACTAAATGTACTGGGACATCCGGGCTAATTTTTCGAAAAATACCTTTGGTATTCCGAGTACTTACCAGGTCTAAGATTGCAATACTTTTCTTCATACCTACTTTAAAACGTATTTAAAGTTATTTATGCAAACGAGAAATTCAAGAAAATCGTACGGGTGTTGGTGGTGGTGGTGGTGGGGTAAGCAGAGAGCGCGGCCGCTTCGGCCTGCTCGAAATTGAATCGGCGAGTTCAAAACCACGACGCGCTTAAAAATTTTTAATATTTCAGCTTCTAGAGGTCCGATTTTGATAATTTTTAAATCGATGTCTCGCGATTAAAAAAAAACAGTTAGCGTATTTTCAAATGCATATCGTTAATAATTATTGGTCCTTCAACAGCCCGATAATTATTTATTTTTAAACTTCCTTTAATTATCAACTTTATTTTTTTATTGTATAAGTGCATAAACTTATATATTGTTTATCAATGATCAAAAACAAATTTATTTAAATATTCTAAAATTGTTTAAACAACAATCATTTTCAAAATATGTCGAAAATTAGTAATATAATGAGTTAATTTAACTTCAGATGAACGGAAAAAAGTTATAAGCAAAAAAAGTGAATTTACGTAAAAATTATACAATTAACCAGCCTGTAAACAATCTTCCCCCCATTTTTATGACTGTGGAAACTAATATGTTATTGTACATAATATTTAACATCTATAGTGATAAATTCAGCTTGCTGAAACAAAAGGTCGCGTCCAACTCTATATTTCCTGGCCTATAACGGCTGTGACAACGTAAGGCAATGTTTCGCATTATTTATTTATTTAAAGCTATTAGTGTTATTACACAAAATGTTTAGACAGGTCAAAACTAGGAAATTATTCCACTAAGTACAAACCACGAAATTTGAATAATTCCAAATATTTCGAAGTTTTATCACCACTAAGGACTGTGAAAACATTTTTAGTAGTACCGTACAAAATAACGCTAAAATTAGAAAATTCGCTCCGAAGTTAGATATAACTTCAACCATTTGATTCACGCAGAGAGATGAGGGTATTCGAAGATGTGAAGATAGTTTCCAGATAAGAAATTATGTCCTTTATTATTCCTTTTTCCTTCTGTAACGAGCTATTTTCTCTTCAAACGATCTATGCAGTCGTTTCCTTTTTCTTTTCAATTTCAATTTCACCAGGCAATCCAACTGTTTGAAGTTTTCTAACAATTCCTCATTTAAATTCTGGTAATCCTCACTCTTCTGATTCCTCAAGAATTTCTGAGCGACTTTCTTGAAACTTAACCATGCTATACTTGCACTATCATTAATTTTTGTGATAAACAACAGAGGAAAAGTATACAAAACGCACTGGTTCCATGGCAATCTTGATTTTATCCATTAGGTCAGTTAATGAGCCAAAATATTATATACCTTTATAACAAAAAAAAAAAAAGAGTAATCCAAAAACATGAGAAATACTCGGTATGTACTATTTTGAAAAAAAAAAACGCAAATTCTCAGAAATACAAAATTCAATTTTATTTATGTATTTTTTTATACGACTGCCTTGCAAAAGGGGGTTTTGCGCACGGAAAACACGCTCTGAAAACGGTATTTTGCACACGCCGTGTGCTAAACATTTTGCACACGGTTATGTCATCTTTGCACACGCGTCTCCAGATTGTGATTTTTGTTTGATGTTGTCACCCAAATTATGCAATGTTTCAAGTTGGCTGAGTTTCATAGCAACCGTCACGGCTCCTTTATTTTGTTGATTAGATACTTCAAAAATTGTTGAATTCCCGAAGTTTGGGTGTGAAAATGTGTGATTCTGAAGAGATTTTACAGAAAGCAAGCGAAATATGTTCGGAACTGCTGCCCACAAAATCCAGAAGCAGGTATGAAGCTGAGTTAAGCCGATTTATGGACTGGCGACTAGCCAAAAATGTCCAAACTTTCTCAGAAAACGCAGTAATGGTGTATTTTGAAGAACTATCTAAGAAATATAAATCTTCGACGTTGTGGACGATTTTTTCGATGCTCAAGTCAACGTTAAGTGCCAATCACAACATAGATCTTGGAAGCTATAAAAAGTTGCAAGCGCTAATCAAACGAAAATCCGAAAACTACGTCCCAAAGAAGTCCCAAATCCTCACAGAAGATGATTTTTGCCGGTTTTTGACGAAAGCATCAGACGACAAATATTTACTTATCAAGGCGGTGGTGGCAGTTGGACTATCTGGGGCATGTCGAAGGGAGGAATTATGTTATCTCAAAATAGAAGACACCAAAGATTTCGGCAGTGCTATGCTGATTAAACTGAAGAATACAAAAACAAAGGTACCAAGGTGTTTTACAATTACAGGAAACCTTTACACTATCTTAAAAAAGTACTGTGCTCTTCGTCCTCCTAATCTGAAGACAGGCAGGTTTTTTTTAAACTATCAAAACGGAAAATGTTCAAGCCAAAACGTTGGCATCAACAAAATTGGAAACATGGCTAGGGAAATCGCCAAGTTTTTGATGCTAGAGAATCCAGAAAGTTACACGGGACATTGTTTTCGGCGTTCATCGGCCACAATTTTAGTCAATTCTGGCTCAAATCTGCTTGCCCTCAAACGCCATGGAGGGTGGAAATCCAGTACAGTTGCCGAAGGCTACGTTGATGACTGTTTGAGAAATAAAATGGAAGTTTCGAAAAAGATAGAGTCTTCAGTGTCTTCTGCTGCCACAGAACCAGAACAACGATCGTCTACTGGAATACAACAAGAAAACAACGACCGCACGCTGAAAAACTGCACTAAAAACACGACACCAAAAATATTCTCTATTACCGAAAACAAGGTGCACAATAATACTGCTTTTCCCAGCGTAACCTTGAAGGAATGTTCAAATGTTACCATAAATATTAAATATTAGTTTCTTTTGTTAATGCGTTAGCAATTTTCTTAATAAAAACGAGTTAAATTAAAAGTTGTATTTAATTTATTTTGTTAATGCGTTGGCAATTTTAGTAATAAAAACGATTTAAATTAAAATTTGATTTTTGTGGTCTCTGTTTGCAGTCGTATAAAAAGTATCGTAAAAAACTCGTTTGAAAACCTCTTTGCACACTCGCACGACTTGTGGACCTCGCCTTCGGCTCGGTCCACCAATATGTCTCGCTCGTGTGCAAAGAGTCGTTTTCAAACCTTGTTTAATATACTATTTTGATGTCGCATATTTTTAAAACTTTGCTCTCTCCTATTTTTTTCTAAATATAAAGGTAAAAAAAAATTAGGGGACTAGAATGTCATGCGTAGTGTATTTTAGACATTTAGAGAACGGAATTAAAATTTTTTAATGTAATTTCAGCACATCTAAGATGTTTTAGTGAAATTTGAGGTAGAGGAATATAAAAAAATATTTTATACTTAACTTGTCTTATTTATTAATAATCTAGAAATTTCATAAAAAAACAAAAAGATTGTTTAAATTCCTTAATAATTTCTTCCTGAATTTATTTTTTATTTCATAGCTTTGTAAATGGTTTTCAAACAAAGGCTGCATTTATTTAATCCCATAGGCATGCTGTTGATTCATCACCTTCAATAGATGCCCTAATACCTTAAACACCTAAAATCTAAGAATTCACATTCCACAATTTAAGATTTATTAGCTAGACGCTGAATAAATAGATTTAAATCGACATTGTGTGTCGGTTCAACTTGGAATACCTTTGAAATCATTACATGTTTGATAAGAAATATAAATCTAGACCGCTTTCCTTAGCAAGAACACTTTAATCTTCTGTAATCCTGCATAAGATACTAGTTTCGTATAAATATCAGTACATCGGGAACTAGCACCATTAAGTTCTACATTTTAGCCAACAACAATGAATAATTTCGTATACCTTGCAACTTTAGCCCTGTTACTGACGTTCTCCGTAAGTTTTAGATAATAAAATTAATTTAATTTACAACAACGAATTTTACATTGTAGGTCAGCGTACAGGGGAACGTTTTAAGGTCAAGTTTTCAAGTGCTGTCAGATGAAGTTTCAGCTGATGTCGAAGAACCCAAGATTCCCTCTGAAATCGAACACCCAGAATTTCCCTCAGGAGTCGAACAGCCAGAGCTTCCCGAGGGTGCCGAGCAGCCAGAACTCCCCTCTGAAGTCGAACAACCAGAGCTCCCAGTTGGTGGAGAACATCCACAACTTCCCGAAGGAGCCGAACAGCCAGAACTCCCCTCTGAAGTCGAACAACCTGAATTGCCCTCTGAAGCCGAACAACCAGAACTTCCAGTTGGTGGAGAACATCCACAACTTCCCGAAGGAGCTGAACAGCCAGAACTCCCCTCTGAAGTCGAACAACCGGAACTTCCCGAAGGAGTCGAACAGCCAGAACTCCCATCTGAAGTCGAACAACCAGAGCTTCCAGTTGGTGGAGAACATCCACAACTTCCCGAAGGAGCCGAACAGCCAGAACTCCCCTCTGAAGTCGAACAACCAGAACTTCCAGTAGGTGGAGAACATCCACAACTTCCCGAAGGAGCCGAACAGCCAGAACTCCCCTCTGAAGTCGAACAACCAGAGCTTCCCGAAGGTGCCGAACAGCCAGAACTCCCCTCTGAAGTCGAACAACCAGAGCTTCCAGTTGGCGGAGAACATCCACAACTTCCCGAAGGAGCCGAACAGCCAGAACTCCCCTCTGAAGTCGAACAACCAGAGCTTCCAGTTGGCGGAGAACATCCACAACTTCCCGAAGGAGCCGAACAGCCAAACCTTCCCTCTGAAGTAGAACAACCAGAACTTCCAGTTGGTGGAGAACATCCAGAACTTCCCGAAGGAGCCGAACAGCCAGAACTCCCCTCTGAAGTAGAACAACCAGAACTTCCAGTTGGCGGAGAACATCCACAACTACCGGAAGGTGCCGAACAGCCAGAACTCCCCTCCGAAGTCGAACAACCAGAGCTTCCCGAGGGTGCCGAGCAGCCAGAACTCCCCTCTGAAGTCGAACAACCAGAGCTTCCAGTTGGTGGAGAACATCCACAACTTCCCGAAGGAGCCGAACAGCCAGAACTCCCCTCTGAAGTCGAACAACCTGAACTTCCCGAAGGCGCCGAACAGCCAGAACTCCCTTCTGAAGTTGAACAACCACAATTTCCATCTGGAGTAGAACAGCCAGAACGTCCAGCTGGAATAGTACCAGCAGAGGCAGAAGAACAGTGAAAGTCGAAGTTCGTGCACACTGATTTGTAAAAAGTTAAACACACCAAAGTTATCTGAAGAACAAATCTGGTTGTGAATATAATTTATGTAAATTTACATGTAGATATTTATAGATTCTGAGAGAATAAATGATAAATTTCATCCATATTGACTTTTTTCTTTTTTATAAAAAATTATGTGCCTATTAGTTTGGCATTTAGAGTTTTGAAAATCTGATTTGTGGACATGTAAACAGAAATACATACAACTATAAAAAAAATCTCGTCAGCAATTTTTCAGTTGGGTACTTATTTATGTTTTTTATAATGTGCATAAAGCAAATAGTTATTTTTTAAAAATCTAGTTCGTGAAGTACCGTGGAAAGGGGCTACTTTGATCAAAATAAAATTTCAACCGCCGATAAAACATTGTAAAAAACGTTTAAATGTCTTCCAAAAAAAGTATATATATATCGGTTTTTGCTGCTGATTCGAACTACGTAACAAAAGTTTAATTTGCATTTTCCGTTTTGTGGCAATTAATTCCCAAATGCGATTTTAAAGTTAAACTAAAAATGGGGTTACTTTAAACAGTTCATTTATTTTAATGTATTTGAGAAAGTAACCCCTCAAAAGGCTTTAAATAACTTTTTAAAAAGCTAATTAAGGTCACAGCCATAATTAAAAAAATTTTTTAGCCAGAAAATCGATAAAAACTACTAAAAATATAAAATAATGTGTATATTTCTCAAAAATGTGCTTACATAGAACAGTTCTTATCTTAACAAATAATAATAAATAAAACAACACTCTGTTAACAANACAACCTGAGCTTCCAGTTGGTGGAGAACATCCACAACTTCCCGAAGGAGTCGAACAGCCAGAACTCCCCTCTGAAGTCGAACAACCAGAGCTTCCAGTTGGTGGAGAACATCCACAACTTCCCGAAGGAGCTGAACAGCCAGAGCTCCCCTCTGAAGTCGAACAACCTGAACTTCCCGAAGGCGTCGAACAGCCAGAACTCCCTTCTGAAGTTGAACAACCACAATTTCCATCTGGAGTAGAACAGCCAGAACGTCCAGCTGGAATAGTACCAGCAGAGGCAGAAGAACAGTGAAAGTCGAAGTTCGTGCACACTGATTTGTAAAAAGTTAAACACACCAAAGTTATCTGAAGAACAAATCTGGTTGTGAATATAATTTATGTAAATATGCATGTAGATATTTATAGATTCTGAGAGAATAAATGATAAATTTCATCCATATTGACTTTTTTCTTTTTTATAACAAATTATGTGCCTATTAGTTTGGCATTTAGAGTTTTGAAAATCTGACATGTAAACAGAAATACATACAACTATAAAAACAATCTCTTCAGCAATTTTTCAGTTAGGTACCTACTTATGTTTTTTATAATGAGCATAAAGCAAATAGTTATTTTAAAAAAATCTAGTTCGTGAAGTATTCAAGATCGATTAGGATCAGAGTACTGCGAGGTAAGAGGCAAAGGATTAGAATTGTTTTCATCATATTTAACAAACAGAAAACAAAAAAAAATAAAAAATTATACTGATTCATCAATTCTTGATATGAAAAATGGTGTTCTCCAGGGATCTGTTCCGAGACTGCAGGTTCTTATTATTAAAGATCGGAAATGTTGACTGTAAGACGGGTTCTCTTTTATGTAATTTTATTCAAACAAAAAGTGACACAACCGTTGTCTTCTTATAACTGCACTCTTTAAACTATACTATGTCTGCCTCTGATCTAAAGCTTCGCATCGATTAATTTATTCGGCACGTATCTAATGCCCTGTCGGACAATACAATTTATTCTTTGCTGAGGGACAACAAGTAACAGTTACAGCTCAAGTAATCATGAATGAAGGGGAACATTATNTTCGAAATATGTAGCTTTCTGCAATAGAAAAAATAATTGGGGCTACTTTGATCACTTTAGGTGGGGCTAATTTGATCAAAACAAAACAGTCAAAGTTACCCCACCACACCGATCAAAGTTACCCCACGACACATATTGTGAATTTGCCCCCATATTGAAAAGCGAAATATTTTTGCAAAAGCCTATTTCTACTTATTAAGCATGAATAAACGATAATCTGATTTACTTACGACGGCAATGTTTCACATTCCAGCTCCAGGTATAGAGTTTTTTACCCTTCGAAAATGGTGCACTTTTTCCTCACCCACAAAGTTGAATGCTACCGCTTCGCCGTTTAACATAAACAGCCGCGTGCGTTTGAAATCTCTTTAGTGGTATCCCCACTTTAACACGTTGTGCGCGGCAGGTCAAAATAACACGAGTGTTAGTGTAAATTAATTTAATAAGATGGCGCCGAAGTTTCTATCAAAGTAGCCCCCGAATATGAAAGTAGCCCCTTTCCACGGTATTCAAGATCGATTTGGATTAGAGTACTGCGAGGTAAGAGGCAAAGGATTAGAATTGTTTTCATCATATTTAACAAACAGAAAACAAAAAAAATAAAAAATTATACTGGCATTAATTCTATGAAAAATGGTGTTCTCCAGGGATCTGTTCCGAGACTGCAGGTTCTTATTACTAGAAATCGGAAATGTTGACTGTAAGACGGGTTCTCTTCTATGTAATTTTATTCAAACAAAAAGTGGCACAACCGTTGTCTTCTTATAACTGCACTCTTTGAATCATACTATTTCTGCCTCTGATCTAAAGCTTCGCATCGATCAATTTATTCGACACGTATCTAGCGGCAGTCTAATGCCCTGTCGGACAATACAATTTATTCTTTGCTGAGGGACAACAAGTAACAGTTACAGCTCAAGTAATCATGAATGAAGGGGAACATTATTTTATTACACTAAAAATTTCTTGGTCTAGAATCATCTTGTTTTGATTGCACTGGTTATCGTCTGTATACCTCGGAAACAATTGTAAATGTTAATCAGATACACTTCTAACAAAAACATGATGTTTTTTTAATAATAAAATGTTCAGATAAAGCATATAAGTACTCAGTTACATCTTTAATTCGGAATATTTTTAATTACCACTTCATGGTTTACAAAAGCAAATATAAACTACATGCAAATTGATTTACGTACTAGTTTACAATACTACAATCGAAAATAAGATAACTGACATTCCATTCGTCCGACTCAAGAGACTTTTCAGTTATATGATTCAAGTGATTTAACGTATTTTTTAGCTGAACTTTATACTAGTGAGCTTTATTGATTTAAGATAAAAATTTACTGATGGTGTTAATATTTTTAACCGCAATAGGCAATTTGTTCCAAGCTTTTCAGATGTTATTCTTTCAAAGAAACCCTAAACATAAGAAAATTAAAATATTGAAAGTATCCTTCCAATTACACTTATTTTAAAATAATCTAGTGTATTAGGTATATGGTCCTCAAACTAAATAATTGGAAGGCTGTCGGCTGAAGACACAGTGTTATTTAGGTAAATCAAAACATATTTTTTATCTCTTGAGCTATGCTTAAAAATCTAAAAAAACGTTCAATTAATTATACATAAAAATGTACTCTTGTTTAGGTCACCTAACACAAGGTTATTTCTACAACTGGTGTTTTTATAAAAATGTTTCGTAAAAATTGATAATTATTGGTAACCTTAAATTTGACAGTTTAGATTTCAAAACTTGAGCATCACTTTGCGCTATACGTGTGTTTTTGTTAAAATGGTGTTACTGCAAAATAAAAATAAAAAATTGCTTTACTACCTATTAATTATTTCTATAAATACTGTCATCTTATGATTTACATCTAAGTGTAACAAAAAAGTTTTTGGAATTCTTCTCTGGAAGACTTCCTCCTTCTTTAGTGGTGAAAAGTAAGGCGAAGAATTGAAGGGTATTAAGTGTCCGTGTTTGATGACATATGTAATACTTCGAAACGGTTTTATTCAGTCTTCTTTTGGGAAAATAATTGTATTTGGTCGACATTTGCAGTAGACTTCTTTGAATCTTCTCAAACAAACCATTCTCTGACATATTTGGGTTGCAGTTTTCTATAAGGCTAGTTAAGTATATTAAATTGGAATGGCATATTGGAACATGGCACAATTCTTTACAAGTATCACATAAATTATACTTTTCAAAGCTTTCCAATATCTGATAATTGTTAGAATAAATTTATTTGAGTTGAGGAGGATTTTGCTCCCGGACGTAGCGAGGGCTGGTAACAGAGTTCGAGACTGGTAAATTATACTTACTGCTGCGTGGTGTATAACATTTTATTTGCTCCCACAGTTTTTTATGGTTCATGGAATAAAGATTAGGTTTTATTTTTTGGCATTTCTTAATCAATTAATTTTGAAATCGAATTCGAAATCTTGCAAAGTCCCCTTGATTGTTTGATTTTTCTCGTTTTTAAGGTATTTATAAACAAAGCTACATAAAATTTACAATTTTGCTGGTGTTGAATTACCTATTATTTCTAAATGTTCCGATTAACTAATCAAACTTGCTTTGCACAACGTCAATTTCAAAAATTTCGATGACAATTCCAGATTCTAAAAATCGTATGTCACGTACGATTACAATTACTTCTCGTCTGGGTTCTGTTTCTCACCTAGAAATTCTCAATAAATATATCCAGATTAGATGTTATGACCAACTAGTCGGCAAGATTACTATTTCTATGATTCCTGATAAGATTGCACAGTTTTTGAAACTAGAACATCCTGAAACATATACAGGCCATTCATTCCAAAGAACATCGGTAACGTTACTGGCTAATACAGGAGTTGATGTATTAGCAATCAAGAGACATGGTGGGTGGAAATCAGCCAGAATTGCAGAAAGTTATGTTGTTGACAGTTTAAGTAACAAAAATGAAATAGCTAACACGATTCTTTACAATGACACTTCAACTCTAGGTTCTGGTAGTACGTCGCATCATGCTGTTTTAATGGATCAGTCAGATAATATTGAGCCTCCGGTGACTGAAATGGAGCGCTCAATCATTTTGAGAAAAATGCGACAATTATAATAATTATCCAGATGTTACTAAATGTAATAATTATTGTACAATTACTATAAATATTTATTCATAACGATTAATAAAATGTAATGTTCATCAAACGTTTCTATTTATTTGTTCATAAAATATGTATTTACAACTCCAAATCGCTTTTTTTCCCTAAGGAGGTA